AGTTTCACTCTTGTTGCCAAGGCTGAAGTGCAATGGTGCTGTCTTGGCTCACTGCAACCTCTGCCTCCCAAGTTCAAGTGATTCTCCTGCCTCAGCCTCCCAAGTAGCGGGGCTTACAGGCATGCGCCACCATGCCTAGCTAATTAAAAGAGGGTGAAAAGCCCTGCCAGAAATATAAGCAACTGGACATGGAGTCCCTGCAGAGGGCACCTGGAGGCTCCTTGTGGCACCCATACCAGAAAGGACAGAAGACAAGGGAACAGGGCACACCCTGAATGGGGGAGGAGGCTGGTGCTGCTTGATGCCCCTGGGTGCTGGCACGGCCTGAGAGCTCCATGTGCTACTTCCTTTGTCCTCACAGCCCCTCCAGATGTGGCATCACAGGTGCAGAGACAGTCCCCTTGCTCAGACAGGACAGCAGGGCTGGGACCCAGGTAGCAGCTGCCTCCAGAGGCCACCTCTCAGCCTCGAGACTAAGCTGCCTGAGTCTGGCCAGAGTCAGGTGGACTCCTACGTATCTCAGTCGTAAATGGTTGCATTGCTTCATCTCACTGTCTAGCAAACTTTCTTATTAGTTTGCTCACAGTGTGTGATTAAATCTAGTTCATGTAAATCCCTTCTTATTATAGGTTTAGGCTGTACTAAAAATACCCAATTCCAGTAAAAGCTGCTGGCCATTCTGAGGCTGGACTAGGGCCCACCAGAGGACAGACATCCCTCATAGGGCCCACCCTGTCAGAAAAAACGAAGGCAGCACACACCTGGGGCTGTAGAACACACATAGCGAGCCTGAGAGCGTCTCACAGGCCCATGTTTTGCCTCTTCAGCCTCTTCAGTTTCTCTCTCTTTACTGATTTGAGGGATATGAGGGTCTGAGCGAGAAGAGGTGGCTCTCCGGCCCCAGCTGTTGGTTGTTTAAAAATATTCCATAACCTCAAAGCCCGCCTGGATAAATAAACAACCCAAATGCAGTGTCCCACATGTGCAGAAGCAATGAGATGATGAGACGCAGAGGGAACCAGGGACAGACAAGCATTCGGAGGAAGAGACAGACAGAAACAGGCAACAGGGTCAAAGTCAGAGAGAGACAGAAAATATATTCACGTCTATCACGGCAGATCATCTAAATCCTTCCAGGTTACAGAGAAACAAGGCGATTCCTACCGCCTTGTGAAGACGCTTCTCGTTTGAATCAGCTACTCGGGAGCACTGACGGAACCATTCCCATCGCTGATGAGAATATCAATGGCCAGCCAGGCGCTTACCGACCCCTCAGTGTCCCAGAGGCCTGTCTGTGCTGGGTGCTGTGGGGGGCACTATCCCAGTTAATCTTCAGAAGAAACCTAGGAGGTAGCACTAGGATCACCTCCTATTTTACAGATGTGGTAACAGCTGGGAGTGTCCAGACCACTTGCGGGGTTCCAGTGTTACTGAGAGGACCAGGATTCAGCCCTGGTCTGTGTGTCCTCAGACCCAGGTCCCCAGCCACTAGAGTCTGCCAACCAGCTCTATATTTGACCAGAGAAAGCTCTTTCCTCGGTCCTCATCTAAAAAGGCCCCTATGACTTTCAAACTTATTTAATAAAGAAAACTGCTCTTCTGAACGGCCTAGGAAGCTGCATTTTTCTTCTCTCCTCTCCCATGCAAAGTGACATTTATTTATTGTGCTTGGGAAGGACCAGCTCAAACCCACTCATAACAAGGTAAGGGAAGCCGTAGGTTCCCACCTTGGCTTCCAGCACACCATTGTACTATTTCCCTTGCTGCAAAAAGAATTCTTTCAGTAAAAACTTTCCATCTAAAAATAAGATCATGGCTAATTCTGCAATTCCACTTCTCAGTGGGAGACATTTGCCTTCCATTCTATTTTTCTGATCGCAGAAGGTCCACACCGCTGTCCTGCCCATCAGTCACACCCAAGGCCCCTGTGTCCCGCAATTAACTGGAAAACCGCAGCTATGCAGGTTTGAATCACTGGGTGGTGTCTTGAGGAGCCCTGTGGGCAGCTTTATTTTAGATCAGTCATATACTGTGTCTTCAGCTGTCCCCATGGAGCTGACCCTGAGCACCACTCAGAGGCTGTGGCTCGTGGTGTGCTCCTGGGTTCCAGTCTTTCTCCTCTAGGCCCCACCCCAAACTTCCCCACTTCCTCTCCTTTCCCTTTCTCTTTCCTGTTCTGGGTCTCCCATGCATAGGCCACCACCATGCTTGCTTGCGGGTGCTGAGTGGCCACCGTGACTTTGATGTACCAGAAGGGTGGAGGCCTGGCTCCTGGCCTATTACAGCCTGGTGGCTCCTAGGTCCATGGCTGGTAGAGCGCACAGGAGAGGACCCTATCATACATGCAGAAGTACGCCGTCACCAGGGAAAGGCATAGATAATTGTGATGAATCTCATTCATCCAGGTTCTTTAAGGAACATGTACACCTATGGGTAATGGGAGGGAACAAATGCAAGCGACTATATGAACTTTTGGAACATCTCTGACAATAATCCAAAAGGAATTTTAAAACAGTAAGTCACAGGAAATTGGAAAGAAAGTTTTGGTTCTGATTAAAAATCTAGCCTAGGCTGGGGGTAGTGGCTTGCACCTATAATCCCAGCACTTCCGGAGGCCAAGGCAGATGGATCACTGGAGGCCAGGAGTTCAAGACCAACCTGGCGAACATGATGAAACCTCATCTCTAAGAAAAATACAAAAAAATTAGCCAGGCATGGTGGCATGCACCTGCCACCATGGGAGGCTGAGGCAGGAGAATCACTTGAACCCAGGAGGTGGAGGTTGCAGTGAGCCGAGATCGCACCACTGCACTCCAACCTGGGTGACAGAGCGAGACTCCATCTCAATTAAAAAAAAAAAATCTAGCCTAGAGACAAGAAACAGAGGATACATGAGTGGAAACACTGGGGTGTTTAGAAATGAGTAAAAAGTTGTATAAATGATAAAGAGAAGGAAGTGCCCAGCAGGCCCTTTCGTTTTGTAGATAATACCCTACCTACCAAAATATGGACTAGAATAAGGCATGAGCCCTCCAGGAGAAGGCATGCAGGATGACAGAGCAGTTTACCTGCGCAGGTGTGAGACACAGACTATCCTGTCATGTCAAAGGCTTGGAGGTCAAAATTACAACCCAAGAAAGGGTCCTGAGAACTCCTACAGGGAGATTGTTCCCCCAGAGATATTTATGATGCTGTGTTCCTTCAGCTTAAATTGTCCCCAAGATCAGTGTGGATCAGTGTGGAATGGACACTGCGGCTGGTGTCACTAGGAAGGGTATCGGTAATCAAACAAAGGTTGTTGTGTGTCCTTGTAGAAATCCCGGTATGCTCCCCACCCATGGAGAACTAGGTGTGGTTTTGGTCATTGCATTTATACAAGATCAAGACATTGTACAGAGAAAGCCAATCAAAACTATCAAGGGAGCAGGAGTGACAACAGCACTGGCAGCTGACAATTACACAGCGTTTGCCACACGCCAGCCTCTTTCCACCCATTCATTCATTTATTCTCTCCATCATCCCATGCAGCAGGCAGTTATCGACCCCACCACAGAAATGAGGAAACTGAGGCATAGGGCATTTCAGTGCCTGGCCTAAGTCACGCAGCTGGTATTTGAATCTAGGCCATAGTGCCAGATATCAGGCTCTTAACTGACAGCTACTTACTACATGGGAGACACAGAACACATTCCATACTGTTCTGCTAGGGAGGCAGGGCTGAAAGTCATTTACCTACGTTAATAAAACCAAGACGAGGCCTGACAGAGAAAACACGAGCTGTGTGCCAAACTGTAGATTATTAAAGTTAAAGTAAATTTAAGACAAATAAATGGAAGACTGCTTTGCACAGCAGGACATCCATTACAAAATCTTATTTTCCTCAAGGAGGCCCGTATGACTTCCAAACTTATTTGATAAAGAAAACTGCTCTTCTGAACGGCCTGGGAAGCTACATTTTTCTTTTCTCCTCTCCCATGCAAAGTGACATTTATTTATTGTGCTTGGGATAAACCCACTCAAGAAGAATTGAGACTACAAATTCTAAGACTCATGAAGAGTGCTGCCGATCAGTGCTGTGTCACTCAGGGAAACTAGGTTTGTTCTGAGGTGCACCTCTATCCTTTCAGGTACCAGGTAACGGCGTTTCCATTGCTTATTCTCTCAGGAATCCCTGGTCACTTCCACTGGAGGCAGGCTGCGAGTCTCCCCACCATGGGAAAGCTTCTGTCCTCTTCTTGCTTCCCTTCCTGTCACTTGGGTGTCCTGCCATCTCCTTGCCAACCTCATCTCTCACAGTTCCAGCCACAGAGGCCACAGAGAGAAGGCGGTCTGTGGGTGTGCGGAGCAGCGCTCAGTCTACAGTGACAAGAGGCCCTTGCCAAATAATCCCGGGGCTGGGCCCGGGTCACCTGTAGAAGGCCAGTGCTGGGCCGGTGGTGGGGCCCAGCCTTACAGCTGCAGACCTCTGACTCTCAGTTCTCTCTGCCTGTTTCCCTAGCCTGTCCTGGCAGAAGCTGGGAGCAGAGAGCGGAGGCCCTGGTGGTCTCCAGGAAGTGTACACACCTTAACTCCAGCTCCTGGGGAAGGAGTCTCCCAGACCTTGCCTCTTTTCCTGTCCCTAGAAGGGCTGGGGATCGAAAGCACCCAGCCCCTCTGAGGAATCGGGGACAAACACCTGCACAAGGATGCCTCCCGTAGGTGTGCGGCCAGCCCTGCGGCAATCGAGGGACCTGGGGGGGACACAGTTTTATTTCCAGTGCCTGCTGACCTGCCAGCCTTGGGTGCCTGTACTGGGGGAGGCATGGCCTAGGGCGGTGCAGGGTGTAAAGAGAACACAAAAGAGATTTGGTGAGTCTAGGTCAGGTGAACCGGATCAGTGGCAAGAGGCAAACGCGCTGAAATATTAACCATTACTGAGTGTTTCATGGCGCGGGGATGCAGGGGCGCAGAGCCCACCCGCAGGCCCCGGCCCCGCCAGGCTCCGCCCAGGCGCTACTCACCTACGCAGTTATCACAAAGGCTACAATGGGAGGCGCGAGGGGGCCGGAAAATCTTGCAGGTGAAACAGTATTTAAGTTTCACGGTCTGGCCATTGATGATGACTTCTTTGGTTCTGGGAGGCGGGCGGTACCCCCCTGAACTGGTGCCGTTTGCGATATCTGTGGAGGAAAGAAGAAAACGACCCTTCAGACCTTCTCTGGGCCTCGGCGGGACCCATCTGCCTGGAGTGTGAGCTTCGGGGGCGGCAGGCACAGCGGCTGGCAGGGCCCGGGTACTCACGCTTTACTCGGGCCAGCTCCGGGACTCGCCCTCCACGGGGACTCCGGCCTCCTTTGCTGCACACGTGCCAGGGGCCACGTGACTGAGCTCTGGCCAATGCCGCACACGTAGCCCCGCCCAGCCAGGCCCCCCTGTGGAACCCCGCCCCATTCCTTCTTCCCCCTCCCCTCCCTGCAGGTTGCAGGAGAGGCCCCAGGCCACCTTGGGAGCCACATCTGGGGACCTGCCTGACTGCACAGAGGAGGGCCTCCCCGAGCTCTTCCTGCCTGCACAGGCCTGTGAGCCTAAACTCCTGCTTTAAACCTGGGAAGGCTAGAGTGTTACTTGTTACAGCTGCTAGCCTTGCCCTAATTAACATACCACCCTAATTCGCTGTCCTGGAATGCTGGACTCCAAATCCAGCTCCAGGGTCCCTTCACTTTGCCCATCGGCTTCCTCAAAAATGCCAAGTATAGAATGGGAGGGAGATAATGCAGATTGTAAAAAATACATTTTTGAAAAATCATTAAATGTATATTTTGAGAATCATTTCTGCTGGGCGAGGTGGCTCACACCTATAATTCCAGCACTTTGGGAGGCCAAGGTGGGTGGATCACGAAGTCAGAAGATCAAGACCATCCTGGCCAACATGGTAAAACCCATCTCTACTAAAAATGCAAAAATTAGGTGGGTGTGGTGATGCATTCCTATAATCCCAGCTACTCAGGAGGCTGAGGCAGGAGAATCTCTTGAACCAGGAGGTTGCAGTGAGCTGAGATGCCGCCACTGCACTCCAGCCAGGCGAAAGAGCAACAATCCGTCTCAAAAAAAAAAAAAAAAAAAGCGCCATTTCTATATTTTATCATCTCAATAGCAACTTTGATTTTCAGAACCATTTCTAAAAATGTCAATGAAAATACAAACATCGAATTTTTAAATTTCCATTTTATCTTACAGTCTCTGATTTCACATTAGGATCAAAAGGGAGCTTTTAAAACTCCCCTAAGGTGTGAGCCCTGCCCTAGATCCATTAAATCAGAATGACTCTGGTTGTTCTCATGTGGGCAAGGGTTGAGAACCCCTCCTCTCTGGGAAGATAAAACTTCTAGTTTTATTTCACCTAGACCCCTCACAGCCCTATTAGCCTTAACAAGAAGAATCTGGGGCAGCTGGCTGTGTCGTCAAGAACAGGAGCACAGGGGCAGAGGGAGAATAGCAAGAACTTCTATGAGGGCTGCAGCTGAGACTCTGTGGCTGACAGATGCAAGCCAGACCTAAGGGACTGGATCAGTCCTGGGGAGCATCAGAGCCGGTAATGTTAAAGATAACTGTTCATTTTAATTCTCACCCTCTTAAAGCACACACTATCAAAGATGGTTGCAAGATATTTTTGGTTCATTTCCAAAGTGGTAGGAATCAGTCCCGTTACCCACTCAGGCCTGTTACACAACACCAACTCATCCTGGGCAAGAAACATGGAGCAGAACTGCTAAGATCCTGGTCCTGCCCTCAGAGATTCTTTCATTGGTGTGGGACATTGTATTAGTCTATTTTCATGCTGCTAATAAAGACATACCCAAGACTGAATAATTTAAAAAGGAAAGAGGTTTAGTTGACTCACAGTTCTGTAGGGCTGAGGAGGCCTCAGGAAACTTACAATCATGACAGAAAGGGAAACAAACACATCCTTCACATGGCAGCAGGAAGGACAGGTGCCAAGCAAAGGGGAAAAAGCCCCTTATAAAAGAATCAGATCTCGTGAGATCACTATCACAAGAACAACATAGGGGTAACCGCCTCCGTGATTCAATTACCTCTCACTAGGTCCCTCCCACAACATGTGGGGATTATGGGAACCACAACTCAAGATGAGATTTAGGTGGGGACACAGCCAAACCATATCCTTCTGCCCCTAGTCCCTCCCAAATCTCATGTTCTCACATTTCAAAACACAATCATGCCTTTCCAACAGCTCCCTAAAGTCTTAGCTCATTCCGGCATTAACTCAAAAGTGCAAGTCCAAAGTTTCATCTGAGACAAGGCAAGTTTCTTCGATCTATGAGTCTGTAAAATCAAAAGCAAGTTACTTATTTCCTAGATACAATGCGGGTACAGGCATTGGGTAAATACACCTGTTCCAAATCGAAGAAATTGGCCAAAACAAATAGGCTACAGGCCCTGTGCAAGTCCAAAATCTAACAGGTCAGTCATTAAACCTTAAGGTTCCAAAATATTTTCCTTTGACTCCATGTCTCACATCCAGGTCACACTGATGTAAGAGATAGGCTCCCACAGCTTTGGGCAGCTCCACCCCTATGGCTTTCCAGGGTATAGCCCCAGTCCCAGCTGCATTCACAGGTGGTATTGAGTGTCTGCAGCTTTTCTGAGCATACCATTCTGGGGTCTGAAGGACAGTGGCCCTCTTCTCACAGCTTCAATAGGCAGTGCCCCAGTGGGGACTCTGTGTGGGGGCTCTGACCCCACATTTCCCTCCTACAGTGCCCTAACAGAGGTTCTCCATGAGGGTTCCACCCCTGAAGAAAACTTCTGCCTGAACATTCAGGCATTTCCAAACATCTATTGAAATCCAGGCAGAGGTTCCCAAATCTCAGTTCTTGTCTTCTGTGCACCCACAGGACCAACACCACGTGGAGGCTGCCAATGCTTGGGACTTGCACTCTCTGAAGGCACGGCCTGAGCTGTACCTTGGCCCCTTTTAGCTATGGTTGGAGTGGCTAGGGTAGAGTCCACAGGCTGCACACAGAACGGGGGCCCGGGACCTGACCCAGGAAACCATTTTTTTCCTCCTAGACCTCTGGGCCTGTGATGGGAGAAGCTCCTGCAAAGGTCTCCAACATGAAGACATTTTTCCCATTGTCTTGGTGATTAACATTCAACTCCTTGTTTCTTATGCAAATTTCTGCTGTCAGCTTAAACTTCTCCCCATAAAATGGGTTTTTCTTTTCTACTGCATGATTAGGCTACACATTTTCCAAACTTCTATGCTCTGTCCCATCTCAAATGCTTTGCTGCTTAGAAATTTCTTCCACCAGTACCCTAAATTATCTCTCTCAAGTTCAAAGTTCCACAAATCTCTAGGGCAGGGGCAAAATGCCACCAGTTTCTTTGCTAAATCAGAGCAAAAGTCACCTTTATTCTTGTTCCCAAGAAGTTCCTCATCTCCATCTGAGACCACCTCAGCCTGGACTTCATTGTCCACATCACTAGCAGCATTTTGGTCAAAGCCATTCAACAAATCTCCAGGAGGTTCCAAACTTTCCCACATCTTCCTGTCTTCTTCTGAGCCCTCCAAGCTGTTCCCACCTCTGCCTGTTACCAAGTTCCAAAGTCACTTCCACATTTTCAGGTATCTTTATAGGAGTGCCCCACTACCCAAGACCAATTTACTATATTAGTCCATTCTTATGCTATTATAAAGACATACCCAAGACTGGGTAATTTATAAAGGAAAGAAGTTTAATTGACTCACAATTCTGAAGGGCTTGGGAGGCCTCAGGAAACTTACAATCATGACAGAAAGGGAAGCAAACACATCCTTCACATGGCGGCAGGAAGGAGAAGCGCCAAGCAAGCAAAGAGGTAAAAGCCTCTTATAAAACTATCAGATCTAATGAGAACTCACTATCATGAGAATAGCAGGGAGGTAACCACCCCCATGGTTCAGTTACCTCCCACTGGGTTCTGCCCAATGACACGTGGGGATTATGGGAACTACAATTCAAGATGAGATTTTGGTGGGGACATAGCCAAACCATAGCAAGCATTAAGATGTCTACAAACTCCTCAGAGATGTTGATATGGTTTGGTTTTGTGTCCCTGCCCAGATCTCCTGTTGAATTGTAATCCCCATATCAGAGGAAGGGCCTGGTGGGAGGTTTTTGGATCATGGGGGTGGATTTCCTCCTGTTCTTCTGATAGTGAGTTCTCATGAGATCTGGTTGTTTAAAAGTGTGTAGTACCTCCCCACTGTGCCCTCTTCCTCCTGCTCTGGCCATTTAAGACCCTCCTCTTTTCCTTCCTTCCTCTTTTCCTTCCTCCATGATTGTAAGTCTCCTGAGACCTCCCTAGCCATGCTTGCTGCACAACTTGTGGAACCATGAGCCAATAAAACCTCTTTTCTTTATAAATTACCCAGCCTCAGGTAGTTTTTTATAGCAGTGTGAAAATGGACTAATACAGATGGGAGTCTGCAGCCAAAGATGAGAAGCCCTGCTCCAAGAGTGGTCCACCAGCATCCATATCATCTGACAGCCTAGCAGAGAAACAGGTTCTCGGCTTGTCCCAACTATGGAATGGGAATCTGCATTTCACTGAGATTCCCCAGTGATTGAAACTTTCAGGTTGGAGAACCCCACTGTGGGGTGCCGGTAAATACTCCCCAGTCCACACATTTCTATGTGCCTCTTTATTATGTGCTCAAATACACTCACTTGCATGATAAAGAGCTAAACTTAGAGAACACAGCTTAGCCAGGTGAGGGGCCGCATCACAGAACACACCCAGCACCCAAGCATTTTCACGCAGAGCACTTGGTGATTTAGAACAGCTCAGGGTATCTGGAGAGCTGTGCCGTTCTGCCCCCTAGCAGGGCTGCTGTCATTCATAGACAGTACCCATGACTCACATGTCATGATTCAGGGGCTCCAAAAGGTATGCCCCTCCCTGCAGTCTTCTTTAAAATATATATATTATATAATATATATATATATATTATATAATATATATATTATATATTATATATATAATATATAATGTATGTATCTGTGTGTGTATGTGTGTATGTTTTTAATTTTTAAAGATAGAGTCTCACTCTGTCACCCTGGTTGGAGTGCAGTGGTATTATCATAGCTCACTGCAGCCTTGACCTCCCAGGCTCAGG